GAACCAGCTTCCAAGTGAGGTGGTGCAGGCTCCCACCCTGGGGGTTTTTAAGAGGAGGTTGGATGACCACCTTACTGGGGTCATTTGACCCCAGTGCTCTTCCTGCCATGGCAGGGGGTCGGACTAGATGATCTGCTCAGGTCCCTTCCGACCCTAGAAACTATGAAACTATGAAGATTCAAGCAGAAGTGGGGCTTGGACCCCAGGGGACCTCACCTTAGCCTCATGCAAGGACCATCCAGCTCTAGGTTACCAGCTACAATCCCTTGGCACTAGCTGTGATCCCATCCTGCCCCAGGGCTCCCTCCCTGTCCTCTAAAAGGTGACTATAAACCTCTGGTGAATGAAAGGCCTGGTTTCTAGAGTGCCCAAATCCTCACAGGCCTGAGGAGCCAACCTTTAGCATCACCCACATTCAATAGCTAGTCGCACAGCACAGAGATGTGGAAAGGAGATAGGGAAATGTTCAGCCTCTTGGAAACCCCTCATACCCACGCTGCTATGATCAACTCCTAAGAGCAACTCTTATTCCCATGGGCCACCAGGATGACCCTGCAGTGCTCGCTGGGATCACGCTAACAAGTGGGGGCAGATAACTAAGTGTTTCAGGTTGCATTAGCCTTGAGAAGCTGAGGAGATCAAGAAGAATATGAGGTTAGTTGTCAAGTCTAATAGTATGAGTGCTGCCAAGATTTAATCTTTGGTGAAAGAGAGGGGCAACGACAGGAATGTGGAGAGAATAATTGCTGCTGAGGCAGCTGTGGAGGAAAAAGCAGCACGTGCTTCTGAAGTGAAAGGGCTTCAACCCCGGTCCAGCTGCAGCTCCAAGCTGTGGCTAACAAGCTGATGTGCCCGAGGTCAGGCCCCTGGGCTAGAGAATGGGGTAGGCGCAGCTAGAGAAGGGTGTGGTTCTAGCTCATTCCTGAGCAATATGACCTGGTGTCAGTACAGGGACTGTCCACAAGGTCATGAATTCCAGCTCCCTCCTTATCCCTAATGAAAAAGTAATTTTAATTTAGCAAGCAGCCTTGACTGTATGAGCAAACATTCAATCCAGTTCATCTTTGTTAGCTGGAGATTTACTGGCAGCTGCATTAAAAGTCCCCTCATCTCTAATTGCAGCCTGATCGGCCCCTTGTGTCACATGTGTTATGGCTGCCAATTAATCTCAAAGCATCAGCCAAAGCCATTTCTGAGAGACTCAAAGAAGCTGTCATTATTTCATGGAGTTTCCTTTCCAGGGGACAGCTTCCAGCCTGCACTGAGATTAGCCAATCCAGCCACATGCTATGCCCATCAGACCTTCCAAGTGACATTAGTCAGGGATATTCATTGCCAAAGAGCTGTCTCATTGCCCAAAAAAAGAGAGACGTCTACATGACAGCCTAGATGGACCTCCCTCATCTACCTCAGGGTTTGGGACTGGTGGCCAGGTAGTGCTTGGATTACAGATTCCTGGGGTGAAATCTTGGCCCCATTGAAATCAATGGCAGAACTCCAATGGATCTCCCTGGGATCAGGATTTCACCAACAAGTGGTGTTGTTTGTCCTTGCTTATACGAGTTAAATCTCTCCTCTGCAGCAGGCCAGAAAACAAGCCAGGACTTTGCCTTGGGGGACAGAAAATATTACCGCCTGTTACATCAATGCAATCAAGGGCTCCCTTTGTGCATGTGCTAGGGCAGGAAAGAAAAGAAGGTTCCCTTGTCCAGCGGGAAAAGGGCTCCATCCCTAATTAAAGACAGACCTTCATGGCAGGATTAAGCATGGTGCGAACAGCCAGGGTGACTATAGGAGCAGCAAGAGACAGTTCTAGGAGTACACCAGACCCAAAACTTCCCTGAAAGCTCATACCAACCTGCTTTCAGATTCACAAATGGCTGGCCCCTGCTCATCTCTCTCTCATTTCCATGCCTCTGCAAATCTGGCTGTGCCAGAAGCAGGAGGGCTAGAACAGCACAACATAAGCTCATTCAGGTAATAGAGCTGGTCTAGCCAGGTATGTGCGGTACAATGACTGCCACTGAATGTTCAGAGTGCTTGTTTCTGCCCATTCACAATAGTGTTACACCTTAGACTTTGCTACAGTTGATTTTGTGATCACCAGTATAAGGAAGAGGAGAATCAGGCCCCCAGCATTTATCCACTTACGTCACCACCTTCAAGAAACAGCCATCATCTTGAATGAGGAGGCCAAAGGAAGGAAGCTCACAAGTGACAGGTAATGGAGAGGACTGATGGTATGTGTTCATGCACTTTCATGTTAGATCATGGTCCCCAGTGCTAAACAAGAGATCAAGGGCAATAGTGAAGGGCTGGACTCTTACTCAGGCCAGACAATCCATCGTCTGCTCCGTCCTGGGCACAAGTCGACTGGGTTCGTCCAAGTCCAATGGAAAAGCCTCGGTGCCTTCTGCTTCCCGAGCCTGAGCTTCTCTGGCTGCCTTGCTTGGCTGCTGCACCTTGATGTGGACAAAGGGAATCCCCAGCATTATGGCTGTCTGGGGACACCATGCAGTGGTGATACAGGGAACAGCTGGATTAATGCAGTTACTTCATGGCTTCCAAGCCAGTCAATGGCACACTCCTTCCCCCTGGGGTTGGCTGCCCCAATGCAACTACCCTACAAACACCTTCTCGGCAATAGGTTGTTTCCACAGTGCTTACTCTATAGCAAAGGCTGGGGGAGCCCTGAGACTATGTCACTGCCCCAACTGGCCACTTGAGCTCCATACTCCTGCTCACCCACTATGTATCATACCTTCCCCTGTTAGGGTCAGAGGTCCTCAAGAGAACCAAGGCTGTGTAAGCCCTTCCCCACCACATCCTGATGTGGCTGCTGGCAGTCAAGTGCTTAGGACAAGGAGAGAAAAGTAGATGTATCCTTGGGCTCTTGTACAAGACATGGTCACACAAGATAGTCCTGAGGATGAACAGACTGTGGATGGAGTCTATGAACCTCTTATAACAGGGTATACTGATGTACGAATAACAAAGAGAACTACACTGAAGGAATTATTCTCCATACGTTGGCCGGAAGTCCAGGGCTCACCTTACAGAAGCAAATGGATTTGTTATTGCTATCTATAGCTTGGCAGGCCTGATTGTAACCTGCTTTAATACCAAGATCCTGCCTGAATCTGGTTTCTCCATGGGTGGCCTTTTGCACTCTTGTGGAGTAGACTCAGGGGATTACAAAGGAGTGCAGAGCATACATTGGCATCAACCAAGTAATATTACTATGCTGGAGAGTCTGTTACCTGCACTGGCATATTCAACCACAGTTGGTAGGTACCCATTGGTACTAAGATCCGCTGGGACGAATACTGTGTACTTGCTGATGATGTTACACGCCTTGCTCGTGTGGATGGCATTGACCTGGTACCGCCTCCCAGACCCTGTTGGATGAGAGAAGGCAGAGTTACAATTTGCAAGGTTTCTGGGTTCAGTCTACTGTCCGGAGCCATTTTCCAGGGTCATCAGCCCAACATCCAAGCTTTAAACTCACACACAAAATGAAATAATCCCCAAAATCATCGTCCTGAGAGAACTGCTCCAGGCACCAGACTAGGTTGAAGGTTTGTGACAGTGAGAAAAAAGACTTACCCTTATATTCCTCTCAGCTGCCCACTCTTCCCTCCTTCCCCTAGTTTAATGTCTTGAAAGACCTCCCTGATTGAGTGTCCCTGCCTGAAGGCCCTGTCTCAGATATTACCGATGGACCAAGACGCGCTAGGGCAGGCTATCTGGGAGGGCTTTATCACCTTTGGTAGACATCTGCCTGAGACTGATGTGCTCAATAAAGCTGCTAGTTCTTCCTTGAGCCTTAAGGGGTATATAACACAAGGAGCCCATGACCAGCTGAATTGTCTAAAGTTTCCCTGTCATTGCAGTGAAAATGAGAGAATAATCTGAGTTTGCCGGAGCTAGCACTGCTGGCCATGTCAGCAACCTTTTAAAGCCCTTGTCTGTTTCCACATCCACTGAACTCTGCCTCTTGAAAGCAATGAACCCACAATGCATTGCTCTATATAACCTCCAGGCCCCATCAGCACAATAACCACCTACAAAGTGCAGGCTGGTTCCTGCTATCAACACACCTCTTTCCATCCCAGCTGGGCCTTGTGTCCTGCATAGTCTGGTGACCATGTGTCCCCATGGTCCTATCTCCTACCGCAACTCTCTCCCATCCCTTGGTGGCAAAGAGCTCCTCGTTGTTACCCTTGGCGCTATTTAGAGTTCCCAATTCCTTGCTGGTGTGCATCTATTAAAATTAGTCAAGGAGCATCAGGAATGCATTTTGCCTTCATATTTCTTTGGAAAAATAAGGGCCAGATTGTATCCCACCCATTAGGCATCTACATATGATTCTACTGCACCCTGTCCAAGCCCCTGAACATCTACTTTGGTAACAACAGACATCTCACCCTTTTCTTGGAGTCACAAAAAAGCCGCAGGGACAAGGACAACCTGCTTACATTTTGTATTAACTCTTTGCCAGGGACTCAAGCAGAGAGGAACAGAGTCCCACCTAGATGCCTAAGGCTACTTACGTGCCTAGGAGGTGGAAAAAAATCCTATCCTAAATGTTTTCAGCCAAATTCTATGTTGTTACAGCCCTCTCTCCTCCCCCGTGTGGGCTGCCTCTTATTGTAGCTCCAGAGATGACTGTGGATACCCTTCCAACTCATGCTAAAAGCGGCCCCATGCTGATCCAAGAGTCAATAGGAACCTGCTCATTTAGGACCCAAACGTGGCCAGGAGTGATGCCAGCCACATCATTCCCCCTGTGTGTCTTACCCATGCTAGTGTTATGGGCTGCTGGGCTCAGGGGGACTGACAGCCCCATACAAATGCCCAGAGTCTTAGAGGAAGAGTAAAAGCTGAATTTGGCCCTCTGGATCTCACCCAGGAATGGGAAAGAAAAAATGGCTCCTTCTTCATCCATGAAACATCACTTGCAGCTTAAACCCAAGCGTAGGTTCCAAAAGAAATGCTTTCCCCCTCTGCTCCCCACCCCTTGGTTTCCTTCAATATGGGCTCTGCACTCCTGATGTGTAGCCAGTAGCAAAAACAGTGACAAAGGAACAAAAGAAACAACACGTCTTTACACTTTTGACCTGGCCAAAGGTAAAAAACACCAGAAATGTCACTAGGGAGCTTGTTACCAAAGGTTTTTCTTATTCAGACGTGCCCAAAACTTTCCCCTGAGAACAGGCTCACTGGGAAATCTCAACTTCCTGACACATATTTGAACAGCAATGTTTGATGTTAGATTCAAAGCCGAGCCCTGCCAGTTCCAGCTGCACTGCAGAGGAGCTGAACAGAGGGATTTTGAGTGTTCTCTGCTTCCTGAGCTGGGCTCACAACTCAAAGTGAATAACCGCCTATACATATAATCAGCAGGCTTGCTAGGGAGGGGAGCAGGGGAGTGTGGGAGAGGGAGAAGGGAAGTTGAGAAAAGGAGAGAATTGGTGTTAACAAGCAAAAAAAGCTGTGGAAGCAGAAAGGACAGTCTAGGGAGAGAGAATGTAGACATTCTGCGTGGCCATGTTGTGTCTCCACTGTGTGACCATGTATTAACACATTACAACTGACAGCCAGATCTCTCCGTGGCTGCAAACAAACAGATAAAACTGAAGCTGTTGGGACAACAAAGGCTTATAGCAGCTGGGATTTGGCCTGTGGTGCTGTCACAGGGGTCAGGGAGGACACGTGCATTACCGTGCTCAATTTCACATTCCTTCTCGGAAAGCTGCTCAAAATCCCGAATGATGGACTTGGCCGCCAGGTGGTGGAAGGTCTCGTTCCACAGATCCCCTTCACTGCTCTCTTGCCTCTCTCTGTCCCGGAAAAGGGGCCGGATATCAAAGGTGATTTCCCACTGGACTGGTTCATTACTCCTTAACCCTTTCACCACTGCCTTGCAGATGCCCCTGGGGGAGGTCAGGGACCCCCTGGCAGAGCTGACATCCAGGTCTTGGGGCTCCCAATCCGATGATGTCTCTGTTTCAAAGGTGAATGATGGGTGCTGGGCAGACTCTGAAGACAGGAAAGAGGCACCTAATGAATTAGCATTATAATGGCCATGCCTATAAACTGGATCCTCTGTCACACTCACAATGCGAGTCAATTGAAATCAGGCTCCTATTTCCCCTCTCAGATCAAGGCCTCTGAAATGTTTTAATCAATGTTTCCCAATTTAAATATACAAGACCCCAATGCTATGATGAGAGGCCCAGTGTAAATTCACAGACACACACAGCAGGTTGGACTCCTAGGCTAGTTCTCTTCCCTAGACAGACTCTGTCAATACCTGGATATCACTTACCCAGATCTCCAGGGCTTCGGCTGTCAGAGGAGGACCTCAGGGCAGAGTTGCTTTCAACTCGACCCAGCCCCTTCCCTGGGACCATGTGCTGAAACATGTTCTGTAGCTGGGAAGAGTCTGCGTCGTGACAAAATGACATGCAGCTCTGTTGCAACAGAGACGGCCTCCTGGCACCCATGCCACGTATACGCATAGTGGAGATGTAGGGGCTGGCAGTTAGTGGCTGTGAACAGAGAAAAGCCTGAGTCCAATAGGTGGTTGTGACCAATATCAGTGGCACAAAATCCTAGCAAGACAGGCATCCTGCTGGGAAGAGGTGAGCATGACAGCTGGGAAGGAAGGATAGTAAGAGATTGAGAGAGAAATGCCTGGTGACAGACTAGACTTGTGGTCCTCAACTTTTTTAGACGCCAGACACCCCTTGGAAAATGCCAGGTCTTAATTTTTGTTCTTTTTTTGCCTACAGAATAATAGAGCAATTCTTCCATTGCAAAGAACTCAGAAAGACCCCCGACAGCTGAGAAGTTAGCACTATGGATTCATATTTGAAATCTCTGGGTTTATCTTGTGAATCACGTATGCACACTTATCAGTGCTAACACTGCACGACACACAATAGTACTCATAAAAGGATCTCGAGGCACCCTGGTTCAGCGTCATGGGATTAGCCAGGCAGACAGACAGAGCCTGCTGACTTCCCTGTGTTTAACCCATTCCCTTCCTGACTCAACTCACTCACTGACACATCAAATATACAAAAACCCTTGCAAGTGAAATGGTTTCCATGTCCTGAACTCAACTGAAGACATTCCCACACCAAACACTTGGGTTTTTTACTATGGTAATTACCCCAGACAAGTTCCCTTAACATTTCCCTCAAGGCTGGAGTGAGTCATTGAGGGAATCTGCCACCCAAGGGGCTGGACCCAGGGAGAAGGTGGAATATGAATCTCATCCATACAGATCTTTTAATTACTTCACAAGGAAACTAAAAGAGAGATGAGAGAGATATTCCAGGACCCAGTTGCTTAGTAACCAAAGGCAGGCTGGGAGGCATTATTCCTCCCTAAAACTGTCCCTTCAGGGAAGAAATGCAGAGGGGAAAAAAGGCTCCAAGTGTCAGACATGGCTAAGCTGGAGGGGGCAGTTGCCATATGGACGTTTTCTCCTTGGGGCGAGAAGAGGCACAGAAATCCTGATGCTCCCTCTCCCCTTTCCTAGTCTGGTGGAAAGGTGCCTTTCCTGAAACCTGACATCTTTCTATTCACAGAAGAGGCCTGGCATGGATCTGCTGCAAAAAGCCACTGCAGGCTGCAGACCTCGATGCCAACCGAGAGAGCCCTTCTCTCAGGGTGAGGCAGGAGTTCAGTTTCTGGGACCCACTCAAGCCTTGGCCTCTCTTTTACCACTACCAGCCAGGGGGCACAGGCAGTCAGGAGACTGGATCTGGATGGTGGAGCTGTCCACCGGGCTTGGTTTGAAGCCACCTGACACATTCAAAACAGTCCACAGCCCTTTGACTCACTGCCTGGCTTTGAGAGCCAGCTGTACATAAGAGGCGTGCGTCAACAACTGGTCTGCTCACCAGGGCAGCCCAAGGGAAGACAAGGTCTAATGGTCACAAACTGCTGGAAGACTGTTTTAGACTGGACATAAGGAAAAACCTCTTTACCATCTGAGCCCCTAGAGTCTGGAATAGACTCCCCGCCAGAAGTGGTGCAAGCACCTACTCTGGACACTCTTAAGAAACGCTTGGATGCATATCTTGCTGGGATGATGTGACCCCAGCTGACTTCCTGCCCCTTGGGCAGGGGGCTTGACCCAATGATCTTGCAAAGTCCCTTACAGCCCTGATGTCTATGAAATCTATGAGGGAGTGCCTTTTTCTACCTTGTTGGGCTTATGCGCCCTTCCTTCCTCTACCAGTCCTCCGAAGAGGGCTTACAGCCAAACCTGTCCATACCCCTAACCCTGTGGAGGTGAGAGCCTTTGGTGAGGAAGAGGTGCCTTTTCCTGACCCTCCCTCACTCTGAGTTATGGTTTCCTTCTGCCCTGTTTGACTTCTGAACCCTGAAACAGTCCCTTGGGGGGATGCCGCCTGGGCAAGGAGAACTCCTGCCCTCTGGGTACAATGGAAAGACTCTCTGTGGAAGTGAGTGTTGGCACTTTCTATCCGCCTGCTCTGCACCCTTCCCAGAGAGACCGCAGCAGCGTGTGATTGTGCAAAGCCATCCATCTCTACATGCTGACCTTTCCATTCCAAACAAGGGGGAGGAGAGCGCTGCACTCTCCTCTCTGAAAATGTCAAACATTGGCAACCTGACCCTCAGCCTGAGGGGGCCCCCGGGACCCCTCGCAGTGAGAGAGACGCCAGAAAACAAGGCAGTAATTAAACTCAAGCAGAACACACTCTCCTCCTGCTGCCACTTGAAGGGGGCTGATTTCTTCTTTTCCTCCTCTAGAAACATCCTGATCCCCTCCAGAGTGCAGAAGCTGGGGCCTTGCTGCAAGGCAGGTACTGTCTGATTTAAAGATCTGGGGTAAAGATACCAGCCTCGGAGAGGTATAAATCATCCACCCCAACCTGCCTGTAGGTACCTACCTGCTAGAGATGCCTGGGCTCAGTGACATGCTGTTTGGTAGCATGCTACGATCTCCCTCGAGCAAGGATGCTGCAGTGTTTGCAGCCAATGTAATCCCTCCAGGCACTAGCGTCTACTCCCCCCACTCTAATGCACTCTCTTCCCCAGCCTCCCCTTGCGCTAGCCCTCTCTTTCCCTCCCAGCAGTGATCCCCACTGCCCTGACCTGGAGCAGATAAGAAACCAAGTCCTCTGTTCGCAGTTGCCAAGGGAACGGAGGTGCAGTGGCAGCTGCTGCTGTCCTGATTCTGATCTGCCCCACCGCACTGCACTGTGGTTTTGAAGGAGGCCGTCTCACCCCTGCCAAACATGGAAGCGAGACCTCGGCTGAAAAGCTTCCCGGTGACATCAGGTTTCAAATGCTGGGTTCACTTCCCACCCTGGAAATCACCCTTCGGCCACAGAGTTTTCAGCCAAAGTCACCGTATTTGTGTTCCTTTTTACAAGGAGGCAAGTGGCCCGCTCGTGGGTGAAGCTCAAATCCTTCCCACTTCTGTCTCCCACCGTGTCACTGGCCTCATTTAGAAATCTAGCCCTGGGGAACAAAGTCCTCTGCTTATGCACAGAACAGGGACAGCAGGAGTGATCCTAGGGATGAAGAAGCCAGTGGGAGCTGCTCCATCTGGCAGAGCTTAGAGCAACCTAGGGGCTGTTCTCATGTGCTCCCTGGGCTAAGCTGACCTCCAGGTGTTCCCACGAATGGGATGGGGAGAAGGAGCCAGAAGGCAGCAGAAAGCCATCAGTGCCATCCTGTTCACATATATGGACCCAAGTGCAGTCATGGCAGAGGTTATGGGCACACTGACAAGTTACCGAGAGGTAAAACGGGGTGAACTTCCAGTGAGTCAGCTAGTCCCTGTCAGCTGCTTGTGTGAATGCTCTATCACACAGTAAATGCAAGGGGTCTCATAGTTCTTACTGGGCATGTCTACATGTGCATTTACTGTGCAGTAATTTACTGCACAGTAAATTATTGCACAGTAAGTGGATTTCACACCGGCGTCTACACATGAAGACATTACAGCACAGTAATGCTGTGTGAGGACTGACTTGGGACTAAAGTTAGCCCTAAGTCAGTCCACACACAGGGTTACTGTGCAACAAGGTGTCTACACATGCCTTACTGTGCAGTAACTACTTGGGCATAAATTTGTTGCCTGCATCATGCAAGTAGTAAATTTATGCACAAGCCAGCATAAGTTGCCATAGTTATTGCACAGTATGGGCATGCACATGTAGACGTGCAGACCTCCTGTGCAGTAATATTTGATTACTGTGCAGTAACTGTGCACATGTAGATGCACCCACTGGGGAGTAAACTGTCTTGCATTTACCAGGATAATAGTATATTCAGTGGCAGATACCATGTAGCTTTATTCGCACACTAGCATAACCCACAGCAAAATGTTTCTGTGCCCAAATAATCAAGTACACCCAAGGATGGAAAAGTCCATGGCTCTTGGGCAGCAGGAATAATTATAATTACTAGGACATGATGAAACAATGTCTTGGGTGTGACTATCCCAGGTACATCATGGCCAGTTGTGTCTAAATGGAAAGAAAGAAGAAAAAAGAATGAAAGAAGCTGTGAATTGCTGCAAAAATCTCTCTGGAAACTTGCCTAGTAAAAACTTTTCTCTCCAGTCCCTTTTCATACCCTCCCTCTTATTACCTTTGATGCATGGATATATCAGTGGGGGCGGGTTCTGCTTCCAGAATTAACTTTGCATGGCACAAAGGAACCTCTAGCAATCTCTAGGGTTTATGCCATTTGCCCAAAGCCTAGGGAAATATTGATCAAAGAAGAATTAAAAGGTATAACTGGGATCAAACAACAAAATAAAGCTAAAGCCACTTCAGTGAGATGGAAGGATGAGCTGCTGGTGAATCACGTGAGCCACAGTTTGAAATAGAAGTGCTGGAGATGGCAGCTCCATGCTCTTGTTTGAAATCTGGATGGGATCTTTCCCCAGCTGGGCTGGAATTCTGCTTGCAAAGGTATTCCTCCTTTGTTCCAAGCACTCACACCAGGGGGATGGCTGCTTTGGCTGCTCTTGTAGGGTGACCCTGAACTTACCTGTATAGCATCCCAAGTGGTCCTCAGACATGTGAAAGCAGTGCCTGGACTGCCTGGACAGCTGGTTCTGATTACTGCTAGTGTATCTCTCCAGCAAGGCACAGTGTCAGCACTTACTTGGAAATCAGCTTGCCACGACTGGGGTTCAGGGCTGATTTGGCACAGATCCTGCACGTGGGCTTTGTGGAGTGGATTCTTCCCCATGGCTGCACCGGGATCGCTGGCTGTTGGGACCTTCTTGAAAGGCTCGCGGTCGGCAATCTGGTTGGTGCTGTATGCCCTGCGCCGTGAGGATTTGGGGTCCACCCCTGCACAAAGGAAGAGACAGTCAGCTCCACTCCTAGAAGCCATACTAACCAACACCAGACAAGCCAGGGGCATGACTTTCTTAGGGGGCAGAGAAACAGAGGCCTCATCTTCCAGAAAGCACAGTGAGAGTATCACCCACCTGCTCTTGCCCTGACTCCATAGGGGCCACACCCTGGAGAACCCAGGAGTCCTGAGTCCCAGTCTAACCCTTCTCCTTTCTGCTAGGAACAAAGCAGGGCCCTCAATATCTGGACAGGGGACAGGGACACACAGTCCAGCCCCTCATTGTGAGGCAGAATGAGGGAGATACAGGCCAAACTCACACATCATCCAAGCCTGTGAAAGATCCACAAAGGGTCCAGGAAGCCTTCACTGAAGCTGGTCTGGGCCAAGAAAGAGGGTTTTTAAAAACTGCAATAATAATTACAGAGCTGAAATGTCAGGAGGGAAATCTGGAGGGAAGCCTGTTCTCAAGGGACTTCCCCTTTGATTTCCAGACATATGTGGATAAAGCTTCCAACCAAGCCAGCTCTCCCAGCCCTGTGTGGTTTGTCATCACTCCTCCTGAGACCCCTGTCACTTCAGAGATACAGGTAAAGGGACTTTATCTGACAGCAGCAAATCAGCTGCCAAAGGCAAAGCTGCAGGCGCATCAGGGAGACGAATGTGCGACATGCTTAAGCTTCCCACACAGAGGGACTGACCGGTATCAGGGTCTGACTCTCTCCCTGGCTCTCCCCCGACCATCAGGTGCTCAGGGGTGTGGTCAGAAGGGAACCCCCACTCTGAGTCTTTGGCACAGCCCCAGCCATCTGCACCAGGTCCCTCCTCCTGGGAGTGAAAAAACACAGAGCTGCCTGACTCCTGGGAACGCAGCATGCTGTAGCGCCGCCTCTTGTCCTGGTGAAGAAAGAGACAGAGAGGGACAGGGTTTTGGGAGGCAGCATCTCAGCCAGCTGTGCCTGGAGAGTGCTGATGACAAAACTAGAATTGGCCTTCACAGGTGTTGCTGCCTTTGCCTAGTGCAATTATCAAGGGCCTCTTCACTCCAATATCTGAAAGCACCTTCTCCCCCAGCCTTGATGCCCACTGCTGCTCATTCCCTCATCCTTTCCCTCCTCACCCCATTGTCCCTGAAGACTCACCCACCATTTCCCTCCACCACCTTGAGCCCAAGGCCACCACAACCCACTGGCTCTTCTGACAGTTTGCAATCCATTTGAGAAAGCAAGAAGAGTGATAGCAGTGAGAACATGCAAACTTCCCCCAGTGCATGTGCACGCTCACACATGTACATCCAACACATACAGAGAGCACATTCACACACACACAGTACACATGTGGCTAGGAAAGGTTTGTGGTGTGTTACTTACAGATCTGGGGTTGGAGGTGTACAGTGATGTGTCACAGACAATGCCGTATCCAACCAGCCGGTCACCTGGGAAGAGGCAGCTGGCACTAACCGGGGAGATCAAGACCTCTGTGGTTTCAGGAAAGACCCACTCCACAGTGACATCACTCAGGACAGGCCCCATTGCTTTCTTCAGGGACTTTATCATCTGAGAGGAAGAAGCACAAAGCACAGGAGGATTGTGGAAGGGATGTCTGGACACACTGTGAATGGGTTCGGTGAACACGCGTGTGCATGAATACATGGGTGTGACAATGTGGTAAGGACCTTGGGGTGAACCAACCAGTGTGTGTGAGCATGCAAGTGTGCTGCACAGGCTGCAGTTAAACCCGCAAACCCTGTGGGATTTCAGAGAGCATGAAGCACAGCAATGTCCTGACTACCAGCCCTTGCAGGAGGAGAGACCAGTGGAGCAGCTAGTCTGCTCTTCTGCCTGTGCCTTACATGTGACACACTGGGGAAAAAAGGAAAAATCTGCCCTTAGCTGATGATGCAAATTGACTGGCAGAGAAACATCCACTCCTGTCTCCTTGGGGTGCTGAGACTTCAGAGGGAGGTTGAAGTGAATGTTCCCCCAGTGTCACTTGAAGCTAAGTAACTTCTTCTCAACGATTCACTAACACCTGCCTCCAGATCCTTGCAGCTACTCTGCATTGTATCATCTGCTACTGTCCCCCTATACATCCATGTCCAGGGATGTGCACCAGGGACATCCAGGCACCATGGAAAGTGAGCCCACCAGTGGGTGAATGTCAGTCTTCAATGCAAAGGCTTGGAGAGTGTCAGCGGACACCATTCCCTGGGCAGGCCAGTAATGCCCTGGTACCAGGATATCAGGCTGGGTCTGTGCTCCCCTGAGAGGCTAAGTCACATGCACAGAGGTGTGCACAACCACAGCACCACCCCTCTCCACTCTTACCAGGGACAGCCAGGGATAAAGAACTCCCTGGGGCTGTCCAAAGGGACAAGATAATTCTCTAGGGCAAGCCCAGAGCTGTCCCTGCTCTGAATCAACTGTCCCCAAGGACACCGAGCTTTTCTCTTGGACATGTCCTTCAAACCAAGGCCAGCTGCCACCAAGCACTGGGCATGCTCCCCAGCCGCTGTCAATTGGCACAGCTCCATGGGAATCAATTAGCCAGGCCCCTGGCAAGTGCCAATCAATGGCTGGCATCAGTGGAGCTACACCAGTCACAGCAGCAGGAGATCCAGTCCAGTATCAGTGACTATATCCTAGGCCAGTCTTTAGGGAAGCTCACTTTTTTCCCCCCCCATAGACCATTGTTTTTCAGTGTTCAGAGAGGAGTTAAAAGCAGAATTATACATGGACACTTTTAAGCACTCTGTATTGTTCAAGGTGTTATGGGAGGTTTGTAACATATAACCAGGCTGTGTTTTATGGGGCCATCAAATAATGTCTCAGCCTGCAGAAGGTCCCAAGCTGCAGAGCATGGGAGGCCTGTACTGCACTAATAGCTCCATAAAACACATTCTTTCTTGTCTTAGGCCCTAATTTATAATGGAGAGGCTTGTGATCTCTGAAAGTGCTCCCTGTGCTGTGGATCCCAATGGAGGGACTTCCAGGAAGTGAAGATCTCTTTAAAGGCACTTTGGACCCTCGAGATGCAAAAAAGAAATCTCAAATGTGTCAAAGTACATCAGGTGCTTAGTTCTTACTGTTTTCAATGAAACCTGCTTAGATGCTTTTGAAAATCCTGCCCATTGCTGATCTGCAGCTTAGGCATCCAAATACCTTTGAAAAACCTGGCCCTCGCTCTCTACCTGTACACAGACATCACTAAGCCCCAGTGTGCCAAGTACAGTACCAGCCGACGGCTGTTTGTCACTAATCATCAGGCCCACTCCTGACAGCCCCAGGTCTCAAACCTGCTAGAGGCCAGGGGCAATCCTGAATGTGGAACAGAGCTGTCCACTGCCCAGGCTGTAGGACCAAGCTAGGGCCATGCAGCAATGGTACAAGTGGAACTGGAGGAATTTTATGCCCCACCCCACACTGCCGCCTGCCACACATGTGGCATGCCAGCAGTCACAGTGGCTAGGACGGGGCATAAAAGTCTCCCAATCCTACTACTGTTTTAACATTTCTGAGTTCCATGGCAGAAGGGCCAGATTCACCGAATGGGGATGCAGCAGAAGAGGAAGTGCGGCTGATACACAGTAGTCCATAAGAACCAGCTTGGGATATAAATGCTATAAAATGAAGAGGACCAGAGGGCCTCAAACCCAACCAGTAACCTTTTGAGCCCAAGCCTCCAATGTCCCTGCTGTCGGTTTGTGGAGAGAGTATAACCAGGACCTGCAGGGATATTTATGACAGTGAATAATGAAACTCGCTATGCGCTTATGATAGAGTGAAAATGATGAATGCAGGGAGCTCTGGTATTTATGACATTGGCAGTGCAGAAGCCAGACATGAAACCTTAAACGCCTGCCTCCAGATTGATTCAATAGGCACAATGATTGCACTGTTTATTCCTCTTCCTCCTACCCTGTGAACTCCCAGGCTGCCAGACTAAGCTGAGCAGGAGTGAGCTGGACTTCAAAATTAATGAGCCGCCTTCATGCTGGTTCCTCTTCCTTGGGCTCTGCCTAGTGCAGTAGCTGTGTTTGAAGCAAGCTGCCTTATTGTGGCTATCACTTGCAGGCATCCAGACATGCAGAGGGTAAATGCAGGCTCTGTCACCAGCCAGTCAGAGATAGAAATGCTTTCTCATGTTCCTCCACTCACCCACATGCCGTGGCTATGTGGGAGGTGCAGAGGCAGTTCCAGAGCAAAGAATTACATGGAAACCAGCTTGTGCCCAATGCCCTTGCCCCCACCCCATCAGAGCCAGATGACAGCATCATTAAAGTGACATGAGGCTGCTCTTCCAGGCACATGCCTGCAGGAGAGAAGGGGCGAGGGGGTAAGTCCAGCCACTCTGTGCTGGGGTAGCCAGGGTTATCCCAGAGGCTATGCCAACAGAATACAAATAGCTCCTGTAATCCATGCTGGGGCCTCAGAAATGCCACACTTATGAACAATTAACCTCATGGTAAAAGGAGAGGTGCTTTACCACATGGAAGTCAATCTGTGGTAACTACCCATGTGCACGCTCTGACCCTGGGGTATGTGGAAGCCAAGCTGTGATAACTTACCCTGCTAACAGTAGGGTAAGCATAGTGCTGACGACTATGCTTCCACAGCTAAGCTTGCATGTGCCACGGGGTAACAGCACATGTGCAGGCCATTCCCATGAAGCCACAGACACCTCTGCAGCAGTACTTTGTTGCCACAGACCCTGACTTCTGGGGCTCCTGCTTGGGCCTGCAAAACCCACAGCCACCTCTCTGCCCCTGCAGTGAGACCTTGGGTCAAGTCAGGCCCCTTCCTCCCAAGACACAATCCCCTGCTGGGAAGGCAAAACAGCATGCCAGACCTCAGCCCATTAGATAACCCATCTTGGGCCTGGGTGAGGGCAGTGCACCATAGCATTGTGGCACTGTGATACACAGCATTGTATCCGCAGCAGCGTTGTGTGCAGGTTGGCCCCCTGAGACCAGGCAGACATTCTCAATTCACTGCAGGGATCTGCAGCCCCCACAGAACCTCTGCCAAGCCCAGCAAGGACATCAGCATGCAAGGAAGCATCTTCTAAGAGGAGTCTCAGGCAGCATGTTCCTCTGCATGGGCCAGCTCCCCAGGAGGAATCTAAACCTCACATCTGAAAGCTCCAGTACAAAGCCTGGGAGCCTGGAGTAATTTCTCCTTCAGATTCACCATCCAAACCTCCTCTTTAGCTAAGAATAATCCCTCCAGCATTGGAAATCAATCACCCCTCTGCCTTCTGCCCCTGCTGTTCTGGGCTCACCCATTACAGAGTCAGGATGGATGGTTGGGGCTGGACTGCAAAGTGCCCTGCTCCTGGTGAAAGAGAATAAATCACAGACCTCCCCCATGGCAGCCTTGTTGCCAGCTTTCCCATGGAATCTGAACTTCCCTTAGAGCTGTGGCTCCACCCCAATCCCAAAGCCAAGAGTCAGCAGAGGAGGAAGCAAGCCCTCTGTCCCACTGGAAACCATCTCCTCTCACTGCTGCTGTGTGATCAGGCCTGTGTCCTCTTAGAATCTGAGGCTGCATCTTCTTCATGTTCTGCATATCCCAGTAGTGTCTAGGGCAGTGAGTACTGCAGCATGCCTGTGTCCTCAGCAGAAGCTGACAGGCGAATGCATGGGAGATCACAAGGAAACAATGAGACTGTTGGCCCCACAGTAGCTGGCAGGATCAGGGCAGCAGCTGCTGAGGATGCAGAGCTCTGCCCATGACTTCCTCCTCATTTCCAACCATGCATCATTACAGGACTTGGGGGAAGGGCTCAGTGTGTGTTCAAACCTATGGAGGTAAAGCACACCTGAAAACAGGTTCTGACCTGGCTGGGTCCCTGCACAAAGCCTGCTGAATGACTCCAGCCTTCGCCCTTGTGCTCAGCAGTGAGCATGTCAAATCAGTGTCTAATTCATCCACCTTCATCCCTATTGTTTGTGCTGATCCCTCTGCAGGAAGGATCCCCCTTGGACCACTCCTCCATCCTGTTACGGTGCCAAGAAGCTGCCAGATGCAGTGGCACTGCCTCAGGTCTGCAGGGGAGGCTGCCCCATTCTCTCCCTCTCCTCCACATCAGACAGAGGCACTGAGGGAAGGGAAAGGATTGTGAGGAGCAGTACCTTGGGCTGCAGCCTCTCCCCTTCTGCCAAGAACTCTGCACTCCCCTTGGATACAGCAGCCAGCCCGTGCACCAGCCTCCTGCAGGCACTCTGCCCGATGCCAAAGCTGTAGCACCTGTGAAAGGACAAGAACACAGGACACAGTCAAGGGGAAAGGCCCAGGGGTATGGTTTGTCCCTGCCTTGACTTTGGGCAGGGAAAACAGCCGGGGATTCAAAGCTCAGGGTCCCCTGCTGGACATCACTGGGAGGTAGTCTCTGAGAATCAGCTGCTCATTAAGGCACCTGATGTTGGGCAGCCAGCTAGAACTGCCTGGCCTTGCCTGTTCAGCCCTGGCAATGCAAAGGGGGATGAGATCATTAGGAAGTGGGGAGTGCCCTGCTGGTCCCTTGAAAGAGCCTCCAGAACCCAGGGGTGCTCCTGACAGGGACCATACTTCCCCCTCCTAACTGGTCACTGCATCAGCTCACTCCCTCTGTCCACACACAGGCTGCTTCTGTGCCAGGTCAGCTGTTTCCCCACTGAGCCTGCAGTCAATACCATTAAAGACCTGGTAATTATTTTTGCTCAGAATTAAAACAAATGTTTTCTCAAGGAAAGAGAAGCCAGGGGACAGGGCTGCTTTCCTGACCTTCCCTGCCCTTTTGCTAAGTGACTTGGGTTTCTTTTTTCTATATCTGGTGGCACCAGCCCTTGGTTGAGAGCTGACACCAGGGCTACGAAGGGAACAGCAGGGAGTCTGAAGGTTTTCTGCAGCCAGGGACTTGTGCAGGGATGGCAGGCAGTTTCACTAGCTAGAAAAGGGCAGGGAATCCAACTGTGTCCTGAAAGGGAATAGCTGGTTTTCCTGGGCATTAAACAGCTGCTTCTTTCCTGTGCAATTCCAGAATACTTATTACATGCAGCCCTGCACTGGGCCGAGCTGGCACCAGAACCAGATGCATTGAGAAAAAACTGCAAGGAAGACTCTTCACGTGTCATTTCTGCATAGAGGAAGCATCAGAGATGAGCTTGGCCCCATTTTCCTAGCTCAAATCATTTAAATGAACTTCCAGAAAAGCATCTGAACTCCTGGGCTCCAGATCAAGCTCTGGAAAATCTCCCACTGTTCCCACCACATATCCTTCTGCTTTCCTGTCCCTGTCTGGGATGGCCACGAAGCCTGAGGTAGGAGCCTCCTGCACTCAGTGGGTCCCACAGCACACTTGGTCCTTTGCCTGTGTGCTAGGGGATCTGAAAGGTACCCATACCTGGTGGAGGCAGAGTGGTTCCTCAACAGCTCAATGACCTTCCCTGTGTTGCTGACAGCTCCATCGGTCAGCAGGAACAGCAAACGAGGGTGGCCCCTATGGATGGGCTGTCGGATAGCCCACTTCAAAGGGGATAAGACATTGGTGCCACCCATATCCGCCCGGATCTTCTTGATGCTCTCACAGGCAATGGCCAAGCTCTCCTACAGAAAAAGGACACATAAGTGTGAGCCACACTAGCAAGGATCACGGCTGAGATGGCGCTTCCCTCTCCCACCCATTTTATCTGAGCTGGGAAACAGAGGCACGAACAGGTTCTGACCAAGATCATACAATAAGTCAGTGGCATAGCTTGAAACCAATCCTGTTTTCAGTGTCTGTTGTGAGGCAGGATGAACCCCCACCCCACAACTTTGCTGCACACTTGGTTGCAAGAGGATATGGCTTGAACTCCAGAGGGGGCTCAGGGCTTGTGTTAACAGGAATGTTCATTCAGATTATTATGGGGTGTGAATTTTAAATGAACTGGCTAATCCCAAATAGCTCCATGCAAGAGCTCTCTTAGTCTGGAATGAAGAAACTCTTATTAAGAGAGTCCACACGAGGGGAAATTCCTTGCTGCCAGGTAAAGGGGCATCCAAGCTACAATGCCCTGAGTGCCAGCACATTCAGAAAGGCTTGCACCCACCTCACAGTAAGTTTGACTGGAAGGAAATAAGGTCTTAAATGTCGACCCAAAGCCAATGACATTGAAGAGACACGCTGGCACCAGGCTCTTGAGAATGACCAGCAGGGCGTCCTGTGAGGGCAGAAAGTAAGCAGTTGTCAGAAATGCTAGAGGCCTGAAATGTGACCAGGCACCTGAGCTGCATCAGCAAGCGCTCTGCTCTGCCCCTATGTGAATGCACTTCAGTACCGCAGCCCAGCCACATAACTTCTCATTCACACACTGAAAACTACTTCTAATTTCTGAAAACTACATCTAATTGCTCTTCCACCAAAAGCTCCTTTAAGGGAGCAGATAGAGAGGGGTCATCAAGATCTTAACATGTAAGATGTTGGGGGGGACAGTCTTTAACTAATGTTTTTCTTGCTCATACCCACCTTGCTTCTCCCAGCAGTGTCCTCTTCTTTATCCTTCCCCTTCCCTACCCTTTGTATTCTAACCACTGCTTTCTCATAGAAATCATAGATAAGAAGGGCTGGAAAGGATCTCTGAAGGTCATCTAGTCGAACCCCTGCTGAGGCATGATTATCCCTATCCAAACCATCCCATGCAAACCATAATCTAACCTGTTAGTAAAACTACAGTTAACTCTGATACAATAATAGACATAACATCCTAATACACTACAAGTAAAGGAGGGGGACCATGGAGGCAATGTCCTGCTTATATCAAAGGCTGTTAATATACTGCTCAGGAGATCCCAGATAGAGAGCCATGACCCACAGAGGAAGGCAACAACCCTCACAGTCCATACCATTCAGTGTAGAAGCTCTTTTTCCGGCAGTCCCTTGATAGCATCTGATGACAAAAGCTGTTGCTTACAAAAACTTACCATCTCTGATTTAGTCTAAAAGGTGCAAATCTACTCTGCCTTCTGCTGGACTTCAGACTAACGTGGCTAACTACCTCCCTCTTTAGAGAACTTAACACTGGGAATGTTTTCCTGAACTTAAAAGCAATGAGCGCAGTTGGACTGGATAGCAATCTTCTTCCCGGGGCTTGCAAACTAACATGGTAGCAGCAGGCTAAAGCAGAGAACCAGAGGGTGAAACTGTCCTGCCCATTTTCATTGCCCAAACTGCAAGAAAACAAAACCTGAAAAAAAGGAACAGGAGGAGCATCTGTGTGGTTTATTTTTTTCAAATTGCTTTGTTTGACTGATGCGAGGTGAAATGACTAGCACAGGTGACACAGATTTATAGCCTGAGGTGGTCTCTTGAATACTCCAGTCTGCACTTGTTCATCTCTGTGCTTTTTTCATTACAGAACAAAGATGTCATTTCTGGTGCATGCTATCAGATAGGGATGGAATATTCCAGGACAGAGAGAGCAGCTTGTTTTGGTAGCAAACAGCAGAGTGAATATGAAGCTCCTAAGCTTGCTGCAGCAGCACAAGCAATTAGCATTGCAAAGAAGACAGTTGAAAGCAAAGCATGGGTCAGTGATTTGTTTTTGTGCTGGATGTTCACATGCTGATGAGGGCAGACTTCTGCCAGTTTGCCTAGGGCAGCAGAAACCCTAGAGCCAGCCTACACCGAAGAGCTGCCAAGGTCAGACAAAGTGAGAACAGCCTCCTTGCTTTGTCACTGACAGCAGCAGGGACTTGGTGACCTAAAAGGCCACGAGGCTGAAAACTTCCCACAGCGGGCTGGAGGTAATCAGCCTGGAACTGCCCAGTCAGAATCTGGTCTCAAGACTGGTGCTAAACATGTGTGTACCCAGTGCTTGATCCAAAGCCTGGGGCTGTCAATGCAGAAAACTCCACTAGGCTGTGGAGCGAGTTCATAAAGCCTCATGGGAGCTTTATTGATTGCAAATGGGCAGCACCTCTCCAGCTGTGCAGCCACCCCCTCTCCAGCTGTGCAGCCACCCCAAACACCTCCGCACAAAGGGTGCATGAAGTCTGCCGGGCAGCCAGGCCTGGAACTCCCCATGACGTCAGCAGAGGTTTTATACCCAGTGAAGCATTGTTCTGCGCAAAAAAAAATCCTGGCTTACGACGGGCCAGAAACAGTCATGTGACAAATCAGTACACTTGTACTGACATCTTAGAAGATCTGAAGCAAGGTTAGCCAACCAGAGATTGTATGTAAATGAATGCACTTTGACTGGCTGCAGATGGGTTTAGGCAAAATTCATTATCTCTGAGCCAATGAGGTACCAGCATGTGCTAATTGCTGCTTCCTGAAAATGACAGTGAAGATGAGGGCTCTTTTTTCTAAGGATGTTGAACCCGGTTCCCTTTTTTAATAGTAGTCTTAAAACCAGATTTCTGGATATCGCTAATAAAGCAATTCCTAATGCATGTTTCCAACACCAACTGAGCGTTTCAGCGAGTGGAAAGATTTATTGCCGCTTGAGGCAAATATTGATGTCCCTGCTGCTACACTCAATATTTATATCACAGCTCAATAAAACCAAGATGTAAACCTCAAAAGAAGTCAATACCTACTTATTATTTCCATCTGTGCCAATGTATATGCTTGATATAGACACACTGCAGGCCCCGGTCCCTTCAAGCAGACATTGGCATTTGCAGAGTGTGTTGGGAGAGTTCACTGTGGCAGCTGCAGGAAATTAAAAGTGTGGAGCTTGCCTCCTCAATATTTTCATCTTAGCTTCTCTTCTTTCCACAGATGACTCTCCCCACTTCGTTCCACACACACACAGAACAGGCATTGAATTATCCACTATCTAGATGTGCTGATCTCCCCAGAGCCCTGACATCATACCACCCTGGCTATGACTGCAGCTGGGATTTTTATTCTGTGCAGCTCCCCTCTCTCTTTCAACCCATCCACATTCATTCCATGCAATGTCTAAAACCCAGATGATGTCTATGCAAATGTTACTCAAGCAAGTGCAATCCATCCAAGATGCATTACAGGGCAGCGGCCGCAGTAAATGAGAGTGCTTTGCAAAGTGACACACTGGAAGAAAAGAGGAGAGAAGAGTGTTTTCTCTCCAGATGGGGTTCACTCAAAGGTGGGCAGTAGGAAGGGACACAGTGGGCATCTCCAATGACCTTTCATGCTGTACTAGTTGAGAATAAAACTCCTCCTTGATCTCCTGGGTGCCTCCTTTCAGCACCGCAGACAGCTCCCTCTGGGCCACTTGCGTTCAGTTCAGCACCCAGCTACTTCAGGCCGCGATTTTCAGAGGTTGAAGGGATCTAGGCACCCAAATCTGAGACGCCTAATGCCCTTGGTCCCTTTAAATATCTGAGCCATAAAGAATAAAGGGTTCAAATTAATTTGTGGGGTGGGCTGCAAAACCAGCACGAGTTGTTAGAAAATGATTTGGTCATTTACACTCTTTGGCCCTCTGGGGTTGTAACATGCACTGCGTCAGCATGAGGTGAGTTTTGAGGTCCCCTGTGCAAAATGTGGTGAAGTTTGATCTTTCTGGGCTTTGCAAGAGCTAAAGAAACCTAAGCTACACATTAATGAATGTTAAGCACCACCCCAAAATCATTATTCCTTAATATCTGCCTCGTACGCAGCACCTTTCATCTGTAGCTCTACACATCTTTACAAAGCTAGGTTTCAATAGCCCTATTTTCCTGTTGGGGGGACTAAGGCAGGGGGTGAATCAGCTGCAGTGCTGGGTATAGATCCTTTCACAAGTCCCAGGGCAGTCTCTTCATGGAGCCTCTTTTCTTCCCTACAGTCCCAACAGTAGTTCAACTGTATCAAAGCAAGCACTTTGTGTCAGTGATTAAACCCTGTGCGTGGGGCCAGGCACTCATTCTTACTGAAGACTTCAGTGCTAGGTTTGTTAATAGCTGCTTTGGCCCAAGAGCAGAATTCCCCCTGGGTCAAGAGTGGGACAAAATATATGTGGGAGTCTACACACAGACACACATACATATACACATAGGCAAGTTCACAGGTAATCATGAGACTTGAAATGTACACAGGCATCCCAAGAGGGTTATGATATAATGCAATAGCTCTAAAGGGTATGAGGGCACCTGGAGACAGCCCTAAAGCTATTTGCTCACATTCCTAGGATTGTGAGGATACGGCATTAACTCCCCCCGAGATGAAACCAAAGCGTTTTGAGACACCAGAGTGTTCCGGACTTGAGCACATTTATCCTTATTCAGAGCTTGCCTGAAGGAGATCATAAGCTTTTTAGAAGAAAAGCCCCGCTCTGCCTCATTTGCATATGTGGAAGATTTTGTTTGCCTGAGAAACTGAAAAGGGAAAAATGTTGAAGGAAGAGTGTTTTAAATGGAGCTTGATTCAAGGAAGTGAGACAACGTTCACTGCAGGGAGAGGGCAAGGAAAGGAGATGCCACTAGGAGTATTTGGAAGCACTTGTGACAAGGTAATACTTCTCATTTACCTAGGGGCGAAGATCTCAAGGTCAGGGCTCTGAGTCAGGAGTCAGAAAATAGGGGTCACTGTGTGTCCTAGACAAGTTACTTTGTTTCCCTTAGTTTCACTTGCCCAATCTCCAAAATGTGTTTAAGAATCCGTCCTTTCTTCCATCCTTTGTCAATTTAGGTTAAAAGCACTTTCTGTCTGTACTGCACTATGCATAATTAGACCCTGATCTGAGCTGGCATCACCACAACAGAAGTAATTAACACGTCATCATGAGCTTTGGCTACAACCTCTCATTTTAAATAGGTATTACCCTCATTTGCAGCTACGCACATTGAGGCACGAGGAGATTAAGTGATTTGCCCAAGAGTACTGCATGAATCAGTAACTGACCTGGCCAGAAAAGCTAAGTATTCTGGCTCCTCTCCCCATATTCTAGCCAGCTGATGCCACCCCAACCCAAGTGAATCTGAAGGGATGCCCACAAAGTCAAAACAAAGCTTATAATGACTATAAAATTTGAGGGCACCCATTCCTCGAGTGCTAATGAAGCCACCCTGCATCTCTGTCATATCACAGGGATGACATACAGGTCCCTGGGGACACTGTCAACAGGAGGCAGTAACCTGCAGCAAGACGTGCAGTCAGATGGGTTTCCAAAGGGCCCCCAGCTCCCACACTCACAAGGGCCAGAGAGGTGACAGCGGGACTGACCTGCCTCCAGGTGACCCTATGCACCAATCCTTCCAAAATGATGCCAACAGCCAGCACATGACAAAGGAAGCTCTCGCACTCTGGTGGTGGGGGGCCTTCCTAATCCCATCTCATCACACCCACCATCAGATTAGCAAAGATAAGGGCTTGGTAAGGCAGTGTCCTACAGAGTGGTAGCCGCAGAGGCAAAGAATCTAGCCACAAGAACATGTAACAGTATTACCAAGCACTTCCAAGGGTAGGGGGACTCCAGCAACCCAGCTCAGCCCCAGATATGGGTGGCCAGGGGCAAGACACTCCCCGTGGCTATCCCAAGTATATTCTATTAGTAGGACACACAGCTGTGATGGAGCCCTGCCCATCCTGGCAGTCACCCTGGGGACAGGCTACCTTTGCAAACCCACCCACATTCCCAGGCCTGGGAGCAGCAGCCCATACTGACTCAGGATAGTATAATGTGCAGGAAGCCAGCAGGGATGAATGGATCCCAAAGGATTCAGATGGAGACCTTCCTAGTGGAGCTCCTCTCCCTGAATGCAGATGTTCTCGGCAGCCTTCCAGCACCAGCTGGCTCCAGCCGGACACGGGCCTGATCTCTGATGCATCTTCATCAGAGACGATGCTAATTAAAGAGTTGCCAGGGCGATTTCCTCATTGATGGATGTAGCGGCTTGGAGAAGGGAACTCTGGCTCAGCACAGTAACCTAGATGGTTCTGCTGGACAGTGGCATGGAGCCAAGACCTACCCTGATTTATGGCCCCTGCAGCTCCCTCCCAGGAGGAAGTGCTTTGCCTGTGATAACTGAATAACAGGGTTTGCTCTCACAGACCCAGTGCTGTGAGCCCTGCCTGGACAAACAGACCTGCTGCATTCACTGCTCCTCATCTGAGTTCAGGGTGGCGAGACCAAACTCACACAGAGGTTGATCAAAGTCCAATGAAAATAACGGAAAGACTCCTGCTGACTTCTCCGGGTTCCCATCAAGGGTGTGGTTACCCCATCATCCAATGAAATATGCGTGTAGGGTTGCAACTCCTATGTGCCTACAGGTTTTCATAGATCTAGTGCACCTTCCAACATATACTTTTATACTTAAGCGCTGCTTCTCAGTTACCCATCCTCACTGAAATGCAGTCAGCTTTTAATGCAGTGCATTGGCCTTTTAATACTGCAAATCTACATGGAAGTTTAAGCTAGACTGCCAGGACAAATTCCCTTAACGATTGAAGCAACTGCAAACAAGCAGCGTATGAATTCATATTCCTATCCACAGCATTTCCTACCCAACGGTCTCCAAATCTTTCATAACCTTCACCTGAGCCAAGTAAACATGGTTATTCTGCTTCCGCACAGAGAACAGAGACAGAGACTGGTTCAGTGACTTGACCAGGGTCACACAGTTTGTTACTTGAGGGGCTGTCAGCAAAGTGCCTCTGGGTTTCCCTGGAGGTCTCCTGTTGAAGCACTGATCAGGCCTAGGCCCCTGCTGAGACTGTGAATTGTGGCTACAGAACACTATGCACATGCCCTGAATATGCTGAAAACAAAGCTGCTTCTGATTTGTGTGTACCTGACTATCCCCTAACAGCCAGAAAGCCAGTAGAGAAAGCCCCCCT